CAATCAAGCCAGTCTAAATTGCCCATATATGGTTAAGCTGCTTCCCAACTCCCATTACAGCCATTAACAGCCACCCCCCCCAAGGTACAAGTGGCAGAAACAAATCAATCCAACTCCCAACGAATGCAATACAATGGAAAACAACAACAGTTGGGTGATGTAGGTTCCGACAGTGCTGCTGGTTGTTTTTTTTTGAGAATTCCCACTTTTCTGGTTATAGATCCCAGTTTTAGCTCTCCTTAATATTTCAGACTCTTCCTCCTTCTGTCTCTATAATCATGTATCATATATCTTCTGGAATAATGCTGTTCCATCACCAACACTTTGCTCTTTCCTCTGTTTCTTTCACTCCACAGCTGATCTTGGGAAGCCCCCGGCGTTACAGACGGTTGCCTTTTGCCTCAACCCTGCCAGGTCTCAATAAGATACCAAGTAAGGTGGTTTTCCTGGAATTTCACAGAGAGTCTGGGAAAAGATGGGGGGAAAGTAGGGGGATTGTGCAATGATTTTTCTTTGTTTCATTCTTGCGGCCAGGCTGATGTTGCATGAAATATAAACATCCTTTTTTTTTTCTGATAGAGGGATGGTGTTAAAACAGTCTTCCTTAAGCAAGCAAGGGCTAGATGCTTGGGACAACTTGTATCACTTAGCAAGATGAGATCAGATTAGGAAAAGTTGGTTTCAGAGAGAGATGGAAGATGGGTTTGGCCAATTTACTTCTGAGAGCCCAGCGTGGGCTGCAGAAGTCTGGTTTAAACTCCATCCTCCTCCATGTCTCTGTGCAGAAGGATACGGTGACCCATTTCTCTCTAGCTGGCTCCACCAAACTGCTAGACAAGGCTAAAATCGGGTTGGCTTGTTTGTGGTTCGGAATCGTATGCAAACTCAGCCCTTCTCATAGCCTGTGGAGTGAACATCATGTCAAATCGTAATGCGGCTTGTGCATTTGAGCATTGTGTGTTGAAAGAACATAGCCGCTGTGATTTGTTAACCCAGGTTTGGGGATAGTGTGTTGTGCGAAGGCAGCATTTGTGTCCTCCTGTGTGGAGAACAGTAATTCCTCTGCCCAACCTAGGGGAGATGTGCATCGGAAGAGCCCTGAGCCACGTGGGGGATATGACGAGGCTCAGTGCCCCCATTTGGAGCCACAAAGAAGGGATTTTGAAGATGGTCCAACTGCAGAAAACAACCTGGAGATTGGTCCCACTGCTCTCTGTAGCCCCTCCCAAACCCGATCCTTGCTTTTTTCTCCTGGGCAGGTCCTTTGGCAATTGTAAAAACGTTTCTGTGGGCCATGTAAATAAAAAGGATGCTCTAAATCTCACAAATGTCCTTTTCTCTTACATAGAAAGAAGCTGACCCCCTCCCATTTTCCACACTGTCCACAAATTTCTTCTCAGCTTCCTCTTTCTACACAGGGGTTGGCACTCTGCTCCAGATTTCTTTTTCCTTTCTTTCTCTTTCAGGCAAGGCTGGCCACTTGCCACCCCCCTCCTTGGAGAGCCAGCGCCCTGAGATGCTGTTGCGGGTGACTGTCGGGGGGCTTACCTTGACCCTGCTCCATCAGCCTCCAGGGCTTTTTCCGTCCGAGGTCCTCCCTCTCCTGGTGGCTCAGCGCTTCTTCTCCCAGCTGGGGGGCCTGAAGGACTCTGCTTTCGGGGGCCGGGACTTCCATCCCCTGCGCCAGTGCTTCGAGGGGGCCATTCCGCGCAGCCACGTCAGGTGGGTCTAGGGAACAGGGGCCACCCGCTGTTTCCCTCTGGCCAGCCGGGGCCAACTTTCTGCTTTCCTCTTGATGATTTCTGGCCAGCCAGCTGCTGACCTGATTGGCGGGGACCCTAATCCCCCTTCCAAGTGCCAGTGGGAAGGCAGTGATCTGCAGGGGGCTGCTGTGAGGAAGGATGGGGAACATGTGTAAGGGCTGCCCCCTGGTCATTCTGGGAGCTGTAGTCCAGGTGAGTTGAAAGACACCAGTTTGCAAAAGGTTGCCTTTCGAATACAGGCTGTGATGTGACCGTCACTCTTGTTCTGAGCTGGAACCCAGCATGTTGAACGAACCAGGCCACCCCATTAAGTCAGAAAGGCTGTTGGTTATTTGTTTGGGCCCAGCATGTTATGTAAACCCAGCAGTTATTCATTTCACCTGGCTTTGAGGTTTAACATGGTGCAGATGCAGCCACTGAATCATTAGATCAATGTTTCTCAGCCTTGGCAACTTTAAGATGTCTGGACTTCAACTCCCAGAATTCCCCACCCAGCATAACTGGGAGTTGAAGTCCAGACATCTTAAAGTTGCCAAGGTTGAGAAACACTGCATTAGATAAATAAATCCATGTGAGCAGGGAGGTTCTCTGCCTGAGCACAGGAATACGGAATTTGGAGACAGGAGCCCTCCAGTTCCACACATTCTGTCCTTGAGTACAAGTAGTCCCCAGGTCCATTCCCAAGATTACAAGTAGTCCCACGAGGTCCATTCCCAAGGTCTGTCCTTAAATCGAGTTTGTACGTAAGTTGGAACAGTATTATTGTATAATATTGTATAAGTAGTATTGTGTCATGAACTCGAACCATTGTGGATTTAACTCAAATTTTGCTACAGTAAGGCTCCGTTCTTAACTACAGGTCGTCCTTCAACTGGGCGTTCTTAACCCGGGGACTACCTGTACTGCAGGGCGTTATCCTCTCCCTAGAGAGAACAGGCAGGGTTTCTTCCTGCTCTTAGGTTTGCCCCATCTGCCTGGCTCTTTGTTGGAGGTGCACGCTCTTCCTGTCTTCTAGGCTCACGGCGGCCGCGGTCCAACTCACCTGCGAACGCAAGACTTCTCGGCAGCTCCATGGACTTAACTGGGACGCCTCCTTCGGCCTTCTGGAGATCTTGGAATGCCTCTGGCCAGCGGGCGGCAGAGCAGGAAAACCTGAATACACTCAGGTGCGGAGGGGGGAGTGTCTCTGGAGAGAGGGGCAGCATCCCCAAGGCTGGTGGGGTTGGGGTGCTTTCTTCCTGGAAGTGATGTAGGAAGATGTTTAATCAATAGAGTACAGGACATGCTGGAAGTTTAGGGGTGGGGCTTAGATCCTGCCGTCCCAGCCCCATCTTGACTTTGTTCACCCCCCGATAAACCACCCCGAAGGAGGAAGGGCTGCGTGCTTTACCCGGGTGAGGAAAAAAGGCAGGTGAGGATGTTGGCGGCAGAGGTCGTACTAACTTTATTGCCAGTTGGAAGCCCCTTTTGGACTTTTTGCAGGAGACAGAAAAAAAATGAAATTATGATTTACGGATTTGATGATTAGTTAAAATAATAGGTTACACAAAACATATATGTTAAGATGTAGTTTTAGAGTAAGAAGTCGCTATACGATTTATCTGTGTCTGCTGTATAGGAAGTCGGAAATCATTCTCTTTGTAATTTTTCCTTTTTTCCCCTTTTAATTTTCATCACTGTTGTATTCCTTCTTTATCTCTAGCTTTCTTGTTTTCTACTTGTCTCTGATGATTAGTTCTTGTTTGCTTTTTATAACTTAATAAACGTCTTATACGAGCAGAGGCCATCTTTCCAAAGCTGATTTTCCGTTCTCTCTGTTGCAGCTGCTGGTCTTTCCCACCCCGGGCACCGTTCCCTACAGCCAGTCGCCTCAGCCCTGCGCACGCATCCACGCCAAGCACTTGGAGAAGCTGCCCCCCTCCAAGGTTTGCATGCCAGTTGGGGTGGGGTGATCGGGGTGGGGGTGGGAGAGATTTGCTGTGCATGTCTGAAGCAGACCTACTCAAGCCCTGGAGGGTCTGCATCATGAAAGATGCTGGCGGTGTTCGTACAAAACAAACAAAACACGGGGGTGTCACCAAGCGTGCAAGGAACAAGAAATAGAGGGGTCATGGCATTATCGAATGGCCTGCTCCTGAAAACGTTTCAAGACAACATAGTAAACCAGTGTTTCTCAACCTTGGGAACTTCAAGCTGTGTGGACTTCAACTCCCAGAATTCCCCAGCCAGCATGGC